AACAACAACAACAGGGCATGCATAGGCTTTGGGAGGCTTGTAGAGTGCTCCTGAGGGTTGGGGAGGGCATAAATGAGCAAAAAAACCAGCCCATTTTTCATTTCTTTTTGCCCTCCCCAGCCCACAGGAGCACTTTGCAGGCCTCCCAAACCCTCTACCATTCATTTTTTGTGAAGGGGGCAAGGTTTCAGGTGGCCAAAAATGCAGCATTCCGTGTATAAGATGCACCCAGGTTTTCACCTTCTTTTTTGGGGGAAAAAGGTGTGTCTTATATTCTGAAAAATACAGTACTTACTTGCAATCATATTTCTTGGCTGCCATGAAGCTTGCTGGTGCTTCTGCCCAGCTGGCCAGTGGGAGGAGAGTTCAAAAATGGATATTCATCTGGTGTCTTATTTCCCTCAGCCTCCCTCCTTGCCTTTGCTTCCCTACATTTGTTTTCTGGCAAGGAAAAAAAAAGCAACTGCACTGAAGCAGCCAAGCTGGCAGGGTGGGGAAGGATAGCAAGGTGTAATGGCTCCCTGCCTTTGGGAAGAATCCAAGGAACTGGAAGGCAAGATGAGGCAAGAATCCCCACGTGAATGAAGGCAAATATATGTGTCCCAGGATAATGTTGCAGGATCCAATCTGGGTCGGTCACCGGGAGGTCCAGAGGTTTTGTCTTCCGAGCTTTCGGACTCCATCTGGAGCCCATTTTCAGGGAATTTCTGTCCAGCCTAGCCAGAGAAATTCCTTGAAGATGGACTCTAGCACAAGTCTGAAAGCTTGGAAGACAAAACCTCAGGACCTCCCGGTGACCGACCCAGATTGGATCCTGCAAAAATTTCCACCACTGGGAAGTGACTATCTTCTGAAAGAGCAGCTGATCTGGGAGTGAATTGCTCACCTGCCAAAGACCTTCAATGACTGACAGAGCCAAGGGCACAGAGAGACGCAGTACTGGTGCAGTTCATGCATATGGAAGGGGCCATATTTCTAAAAAGCTGCCCCCACTTCCCTACTTTTTGAAAGAAGTGGCCAAGCAATTCATCCCCAGGCCTCCCTCACATCATCACCATTCTTCCTGAAGCTACTGCAGATAAAAAGAATTATAGGAAGAAAGGATAACACCTCCCCCCCCACAACCATATTACTACCTCATAAACTCCTAAAATGTCATAGAATGGAGAGTAAATAACCTAGTAAACATTTTGAAGTGACAATTTCTTTATTAGGTTTTTTTTAAAAAAATGTTTCAACTGGAGGATATTTGATTTATTCAAGACAAGGATTAAAAATTAAGAGGCATTCTGGATTTATATGTACCCTGAGAACCTATGCACCAAAGACAAATTCCTTGTGTGTCCCAATTACACTTGGCCAATAAAGAATTCTATTCTATTCTATTCTATTCTATGATTCTATTTATTGCATTCTTCCCATGGAAAATGAAATGCATGGGGAAAGCTTTGTCGGTACTCAAAAGCTAGTTCAATGCATAGGGCTTTTGAATAGTACAGATATGGAATGAAATAGGCAGCTGGAGGAGGGGGCATGTCAGCAAAATCATTGTAGCATTCCAGGGAGGAGGCAGCACGTTGCAGAGAGGGGCCCAAAATAAGAGATTGCACAGGGGAAGGGGAGGGGAAGCAGGTAGGTACGAAAAGATTCAAGTGTACCCTGGATATACTTCAGGGTATATCTATTAGGTTAGAATTTTATAGCTTTAGTCTGGTAAAATTCAGTCTATTAAATAATTGAAAATAATATACAAAGCCTTATTATAAAGCTTTATAGTAAGACCACTCTTAGAATACTGCCTCCAGTTTTGGTTTCCATATTATTAAAAAAGATGTAGAAACTCTGGAAGGAATGCAAAAAAGAGTAACAAAGATAATTAGGGAGCTGGAGACTAAAACGTACGAAGAACAGTTGCAGGAATTGGGTTTATCTAATCTAGTGAAAAGAAGGACCAAGATTGACATGATAACAATTTTTCAATATTTGAGGGGTTTCCACGAAGAAGAGGGGGTCAGCCTATTTTCCAAAGCATCAGAAGGCAAAGCAAGAAACAGTGGATGGAAACTAATCAAGGAGAGAAGCAAGCTAGGACTAAGGAGACATTTTCTAACAAGTAATCAAATGAAACAAATAGAGAACTGGACTTCACTGGATCACACTGTGCCCTCTTTTAGGCTTAGGACTGACATGAGAGTATCTATTGTGCCTTTCTTTCTCTGACTAATTCTGTTTTCTGCTTCTGCTCTCAGTAGTCCAAACTGAGGTTATACTGTAGTGGGGACACAGAGAAGATTGGTTCATTTTGACCGCATAGCTAGTCTTTGAGGCTTATACGTCCTGGAGATTTCTACACTGTATTGAGAGAAGTGGGCTATCTGTAGTTGAAATTCAAGGATAGGCCCCTCTACTATGGCTACAGAATACTGAAATTCTAATGGCTTAATATTCCTTCTCCTGTATCCCCTTCACTGAATGGGGGAAAAAAACCCATGGATCTTTTTCTCTTTTTTCCTACTTGTGTTGTAGGAGAGGCTGGTTTCCTTTCTCCTACACACGTGTGTTGGACAGTGATGGGAGCGATAGATTACATATGAGGTAAGAAAGTTTTTTTCATGGATGCAGTGCCATCATCTGACATTTGAATAATGTTTATACTCAAATAGACAAGCCCTGTGTTTATTTAGCCAGAAGCGGAATCTGTCCTGCATTGCCCTCTTCTGGCTTATCTTTCGTTAGGAATTTCATTACACTGGCTTCGTTTTTTCTCAAACTAAGATTTCAGGCTTGGCTGTGAAAATCCACTGTACCTCTTTGCATGGGTGTATAGATTTGTCCATGTATTTATACACACAGAGATACATACATGTGTGTACGCATGCATGTATGATCTGGAGCAAGCCAGTTGTCAGGGTTCCAAATAGCATCCAAATGTAAACCAGAATCCAAGGCAAAATATTGCTCAAAGTTCCAATTTATTAGGAGAGCCATGTTGGCACATCTGGGAAAACCCAAATCTGAAAGCTTCCCAGTTTTCCCCATCTAATTGAAAGTTCAAGATCTTGCCCCCACTCCAAATTCATCACATGGTCCAATCTCCCACTGCCATGCTGGCAGTTCCACTCATCCAGTTCCGGTCAGGTGCAGAGGTGCAAAGACAAAGGATGACCTTGGCTTTCTAGAAAGGAATTTTGTTATGGCTACATAGTATGTAACTCCTTACAATCCCCCCTTCCATTTTCCCACAATAGAAAATGCACAGTAGAATATTAGGAAGTGTTGCAGGCCAAAGATCCAAAAGAAAAGATGGCTGCAGGCCTGACACCAGTGTGATATATTTGGTGGGAAAAGCCTTAACGACAGTGTGTTTCATATGGTAAATGTAATAAACGCATATGGCCCCGGATGGAAAGGCTTCCAAGTCTTGGTGGTGACAGGAGGAGGATGTTCCCTTAGTGATTCTGAGCAGGTTCCCATAGGGAAAGGCGTGTGTGGGAGGAAGAGAATCTGAAGAATCCTAATTTTGTCTGTGTGCAAGGAATGAGGCAAGTCTTAATGGCTTATAAAGTGTACCCTGTTTGCAAAATTCTGCCACAGAGGAAATGCTGACTAAATGTGCTTATGTCTTCAGCCAGGGGAAAAGCAGTAGTACAGGCAACCTGTTGGACAAAGATGATATCCCCCCTCCTGACTACAGCACGTCCTCCCGAACTTTCCAGGCACCGAATGTCAGCACTTTCAAACAGAGGCCGTACAGCGTGGCGGTGCCACCATTCCCCCAGGTGAGACAACTTTTCAACTCAGAGGAGAGGGGGGCATAACCATTGTGAGCGAATACACCAATCAGGAGGGGCTCTGCCAGAGGTAGATTCTAAGGCTCCGTCAGTGGAGAAGGAAGGTGGATTTTCAGAGAATTCTGTGGGTGTCAGTGGTACACATCTTGTACTTTGGGTTGGGTATGGTTTAATCTTTATTTGTACTAAAATTTTGAAATGAGCATTGAACATCAAAAAATGGCTTAAATGAAATGGATGTACAGTTTGGATTGGTGAGAATGAAATGAGTTTTAGATCGTTTAAATATAGCTGCTCTGATTATGAAGAGTAAAGGAGGAATTGGCACGGCAACTTTTTCTACAGCTAGTCCAACGAAATGAGAGGGTTCTAGCTGAGTCACACTTTATTTTCACTGTGATTTGGGTAACAAGCCACAGAAGTCTGGTTCACGGACTACTAAGTCATAAACGTGGCTCAGACCAATGGACTACTGGCTCTTGTTTTCAACTAAGCCAACTTTCAACATCCGTCTGAACTCATTGTTTTCCCCTGTAGGATAGGGAAGCCTTGTGATGAGATATTTGATTCTGTGAAATGTTCTTTGGGCTATGCACAACAAGATTTCCAAACCCACCCACCACCTTATCGTTAGAGTTTGTATCTATTTGAATTGGTCGGTTCCGTGTGGTGCTATTTCTTGGTATGACCTTGATCATTCTTTCTGTTGCCTCCCTCTATTGTTTGGAAAATTCTTCTGCAATGTTGAAAACTGGGACAGGAAGTGAGTAAGCCACTTCCTTTGATGTAGCAGTTGTTCTGCCTTCTTTGTGCTAAATCTGCAAAGTTATCTTCCATGTGCAACCCAACGATCAAATGACATTACTGTTGCCATTACGTTTTGAAGCTGATCACCAGAAGGAAACTTGGGCCAAAAATCAAAGATGCGGTGTGTACATTGTTGGTAGGTAGGAGGCTGCCTTGCTAAAAGTAGATCTGGTTGCACCATGGCTGAAGTGAACCTTCCTAAAAATTTCTGTTTCGTAACCCAGGTATTCGTACAAGCAGGTGAGGCTTATCTTGCCAACAGTTGCTTGTATTCATTATTTATAGGAGTACCTTATGCCCTACGGTTGTGCAATTAATGAATATTCCCGTGGCCTCTTCCCAGTGTCACCTGCCTCCTACCAGCCTTATTCTAGGTCAACAGCCGTAAGTCCCAAGAACGCAATGTTTCCATTGGGGTTTCAAAAGCCTCTTTTCTGCCTCAAGCATCTTTGTGGCTTACCTAACTTGTATACCTGTCTCCCCATCTTCCTCAATCTCAAGAAGCCAGTCAGATGAAAGGCTTCTTAAAAAAACAAATGTAAACATCTGTCCAAAAAAGCAAGCATGGGTAGAGGTAAAGAATTAACGGATTGGCAAATTAGTGATGGGTAAGGCAGAAAGACTGGCAGGAAAGGGCAATGTAAATACCCAACTGGTAACATATGGCTGTTCTACATGTATCTAGCTGCAGAATTCAATGGCTCTTAGGCCAACAATGCTTATTTTTCCCCCATCCCCTCTCCCTTGGACCTTCCACACGGTGTCTCTAGAGGTTTGAGAAGATCAACACCAGCTAATGGGTGGATGGAGACAAGGAGAATAAGCTGAGGGACACAGGAACAGAATGTGCACATTAGTAGGCAAAGGAGGATGGGTGGTTGGGTGGGTGGGTGGGAGGTGTAAATCACTTTGAGTTTAATTTTGTTGGAAAACCACATTAAAATGTTTATCTCCTATCAAGGGTAGCAAACTGAGAAGAATTGTATCAGCCCAAGAATACTTAGCATTAGAATGAAGGCACTATTTTTGGGTGTAAAGAGGTTACGCTACCAGAGACTTTCTAAGCACACGAGTCCATCCTTTTCTCGGGGTCTTTAGAATTCAATATCTTTGTCAGAGTGTGCTGGGAAGAGATAAGTTGCAAAATAATAGTGGCCTTGGCTAGAAAGACATTGAATTTCTTTAATGGCAAGCTTTGATGCTCAAGTCAGGGATTTTCATTCAGAGACCCCCTTTTCTCTGGCTAGACACATGTCAGACCCCAGGATCACAGCAAAAGAAGAACGTGACTTATCCTTAATACACACACATATCAATTAAGAGACTACCATGGTCCTTTTTTGAATATATTTGAGTGTAGTCATTCCATTTCAACTACAGGCTGCCTGAACAGCCGACATCTTATCTAACATTTTATATTTTTGTCTAGAATACCCTGTTTCCCTGAAAATAAGACCTCCCCAGATAATAAGCCCAATCGGGCTTTTGAGCGCATGCACTGAAATAAGCCCTCGCCTGAAAATAAGTCCTCCCTGAAAATATTGCAACATAGCAGCAGCCATGAGGTGACCATGCTCGCTGCCTTCTGTACCTCAAAAATAATAAGACCTCCCCAAAAATAAGACCAAATGCTTATTTTGGGGATCAAAAGAAAATAAGACCATGTCTTATTTTCGGGGAAACACAGTATTTATTGCCGTAATCAGGTGAAAACTGATTACAAGTACTGTAGTTGAGACAAATATCTTCATAGTCTGAACAGAACTAAGGGTAGATTAGTTCAGGCTGGAGGAAAATCCCTAAAACTCTCCAAGATTATGATTCCTTTTACATCAAGAATCAGGAACTGGTGGCACTTCTGATATTACTTGATCTTCAGTTCCCCAACATTTTCATCACTGGATGACACTGGCTGTGACTGATAGGAGTTGTAGGTCAGACATGTTCAAAGGCTCACAATTTAGTACGGGTAGTACTCGACTTAGAACCATTTATTTAGTGACCATTCAAAGCTACAACATCGCTGAAAAAAGTGACTTATGACCAGTTCCCCAAATTGCAACCGTTGCAGCTTCCCCATGGTCACGTGATCAAAATTTGGCAATTGGCATGTATTTATTGCAGTGTCCTGAGCTCATTTGATTGCCTTTTGCGACAAGCAAAGTCAATGGGGAAGACAGATTCCCTTAACAACCTTGTTACTAACTTAACAACCAAAGTGATTCACTTAACCGCTGTGGCAAGAAAGGTCTTAACATGGGGCAAAAGTCACTTCACAAGTGTCTTGCTTAGCAGCAGGAATTTTGGGCTCCGTTGTGGTCATATGTCAAGGACTACCTGTACTCTTGTCATACAACATAGTAGGACTTAAATATGTTTCACTCCATCAACAGTAGCTGTATGATTAGACTTCATCCAAAAAAGGGAAAAATAAGCACTTTTCTTTCTTCATTTTTCTTCTCTTCTCCTGGATGCATCAGAGAGCAGCAGTGAAAGTAGCAGGCTGCATCTCGCTATGCATGGACGCTTTGACTTCATCTGTTCTGAAGAGAAGATGACGTGCAAAAGAGATGGAGGATGAGGTGTCTGGGGCCTTCCTCCATCAGGAACTGAAATGCTATCAAGCTGCATTCACCACAGCGGGTTTTTGCAGCGTGCATAGCATTTTGCACAGTCCCTTTTTAGCAATACGGCACTGCATGTCTCTACATTGGAGACTATTTAATCTCGCAGATCCACTGTACAAGATCACCCTCTGGTGAAACAAATGTTTATTTTTATTTTTTTTGTCAATGTCTTTTTTTGTACTTTTGAGACCAAGTACTTGGACTATGCCTTGGGAGGCTGCTGGGATGCATAACTTCCATTGCTATCTTTGTGGCAAAAGCATTATGGTTCCATAGCTGATATCCCCCCCCCTGTTTTTTTTCTACAGGGACTGGATGACTATGGGGCAAGACCCTCAAGCAGGTAAGTTATTTCATTTTCAAATCCATTATGGATCTACAAAATTTTAAAAGTGACATGAAATGCAATTTCTGGTGACTTCACTGACATACCCTATATCAGTGGTGGAAATCAAATAACCAGCTGGGTGGGCAGGGCTCTGTGGTCATGTGACCGTGTGGGCATGGCCAACTCAACATCACTCAGATCAATGGCGCTTTGTCTTAGCTGTTACAATGTAATAAGGGTTAGCCGGAGAGGCAGGGCAATAAAGATTAGGCTAGAAACAACACCAGAATGTTTCCTTCCTGCTTTCCTTACAGGATTAGCCCTGTGAAGTGAGGAAAAAACAAAATGAGATTTCTTCCAACAATTGGTTCTCCGAACTGCTTAGAAAGTTAACAACCGGTTCTCCTGAATAGGTGTGAACTAGCTGAATCCCACCACTGCCCTATATATAGTAGTGTCTTGAAATTATACAGAAGTTGAATTTTCTTTTTGTTTATCTTCTTAGTCTAGCCTGTAGCTCTGCAATTTTTCCCATTAAAGTCCAACCTCCCAGGTCCAATATTGGCTTGGCTTTCTTAGATTGGTCACACAGCCTGGCAGAAGCGTTAATAAAAGAAATTCCCACAGAACCGCATGTTTTTAAAGTATGCAGGAACTGTGAGCCCAGGGGCCAAATCCCCTGTTTTTGGAGCAAGGCATGGCATAAATTGCTTGTATTTTGATTTGGTCTGGCTCTTCACAAAAAGGATTTAAATTACCCTGAGGACCTTCACCATTATTATTTTTCTTGAATAGAAATGCTTCTCATAGTTATATAGTCCAAATGATTTTCCCTTTCAAGGAAGCCAGTATTAAGCAAAATGCAGAAAATGTTTATGCATCTTGCTTAGACTCATTTGAGTGGGCTGTATAAAAATTCTGCAAATAAATAACAGGGACTATCTCATCATATATTTCTATCCTTGTGGCAATGACTTCTGCTATATCTATACCCCTCTTCATACATTCATTCTTTAAACTTCTCACCTCTTTTTTGAAGGTTCTTGTCATCTGCATTCAACCACAACTTCCTTGGTGTTCTTCCTCTTAACTCAATCACTCTTCCTTTGTTTTATAAATTTTGTTCATTATTTCAACTCATTTCTTTCCTGCTGGTCACCTTTTTGTAGTTAGTTCACGTATATGTTCATACATTCTTGATCCTATCTCTTCTTATTTTTCAAAATAACTATATCCATTGCATTCAACTGACTTTTATGTTTTTGCTGACATTCCCAACTCTTATTTCCATATAACTAAATAGGGGAAAGGACATCTTATAAACAGCTATTATTGTTTCATTTGACATTTATTCCTCAAGACAGATTAAGTATTACCCATTAGTTTTCTTTTATCAACATTTGCACAACTTAACATTTCCTCATCCATTTCCTCATCTTTAATAAACATTCTGCCAAGATGCACAANAGTAAAGTAGACCCGCAACAGTTACTTATTAACAAAAGATTGGGAGAGCAGCAGCTTGCCCTGAAGAAATGCCAGATGTTCTGGAGGAAGCAATGCTTTCTTTGTATGTGGGAGCAATATATATATATATATATATACATATCAATAACAGGTGACATATTGCTGGGGTGGTGGGGAGAAGAATAATCTGGTAAGAGTTTGATTGCTCAAGAGACCTGGAAATAAATTACAGGTTCCTCCTCCTTTACATGAAAGTTGACCAATAGGTAGAAGATCTAGAATTCTAACTGGGAGGTGGAACTCTACTTTCATATGGCTTGAATTTATGGAAGAACAAGCTGGAGCTGCAACAGAAAGTGGTTTTCTGGAATAATTTTATGATTGTCATTGCCCCCCTCCCAAAAAAAGGTCACTAGCTTGAGATGGGTGTCTATGCTTATTGATTGATTGAAAAAATAATAAGCAAATAAATTCCTGATTGCAGTCAACCAGCTAAGATGTCTTTCCAGACGAACCATTCCATTCCTCCTTTCTTCTGCCAGTCAGCCATTATTCCTATCCACTGAGTGTGTTCAGTCCTCATGAAGATATGTGGAAATGGAGTTCCAGAATTGTTCTGTTGCTATTGGACATGGAGTGCTTCCACCAATGTCAGAATCCTCTCCACCTTTCTGAAATGTCTCTTCTGGTCATGGGTGATGCTACTTTGGCTGCATATGTATCCATGTTCCTCAGTAATGATCAGAAGAACTGTACACAATTTTTTCGTACATTGCCTGTCTTAAAATAGAAGAGCACTCTTTTTGGGGGAGAAAGGGATCCATTAAAATAAGATTGACGTGAACATGCCTATTTTGATCAGAAGAATCTTTAGTACCAGCCTAAGTCTTGAAGGTACGCACTCTACGTTCTTTAGCTGTTTTTGTATTTTTGTTCCAAACTCCATGGGCTGTAAGCTGTTTGTGTTTCCTGGATCTGGGCCATGCTGCCAGTGGCATGAACATTTCTTCCGAGAATCTTAGTAGCTGATCATCTAACTAGTTGTAATCTACAGGCAAGCAGATTTTTATAGCCCAGAGCCGGTATAAGTACCCTGTGACTCTCCTACACTCCAAGAATGTGGAGCATGACAAAGTGATACCCAAATTCTCCGAGAAGAAATTCATACTGATTAGAGTCGCAGTGGAGCAACAGGGAATGAGGTATGGTCAGGAAACAAAGACAAAAGTCGACCTTCCCCTAAAGGAGAGTTATACTGTCTTCCTGCCAAGATAATTTTCTGAGAAAGCAGCTTACTTTCTTTGTTTCAATAAGAGGAGGGACTATTGTGGTGTCATGCCCATGGCAACTGTGACCTATGTTCCAATCCCATCACTTGATCTGAGGCCAGTGCCTCCCAGCATGTTTGGCTACAATGCATATTGTTCTAACTTGTTTGGGCTAATGATAGTTGTAGTCCAACATATTTGTGGGTGAGTGATCAGGGAAGGGTGAAATGGACAACATCTATTTACAGGTGTGTGTGTTGCTTTCTGCATGACACAAAGCAGTGTCTATTCATCCGTCCATGTCTTCCATGCATTTAAGCTTGGCTGGAGAAAGGAAACATTGAGATAGTTTGTCACTGAAACTTGGCATTTAGGCCAAAGATATTTTTCAGGCAAAGCCATTGTTTAAAGATTCATAGTATTGCTTGCTTTGTGAAGACATGATGTTTCTTTGGCTCTGGTGGGGACTATGTTTGTCGTTATCTTTGGTGTTTGCGTCATCCCTGCATTCCACTTCGTTTTGTTGTCCTTGTCAATACAGACCGCTTGTGTCCTGGACACAGTTCTGGCTAAAACGATGCCTTGCTTTCTCTCTACAGGAATCCTTTTGCCAACATCCAGCTCAAACCAACGGTGACAAATGATCGTTCAGCTCCTGTCATCAGCTGATCCAGAAATGTTGGGTTACGGCGGGTACCTTGCACCTTTTGATTTCCCTTTCACCTATGTTGTATTTCTGTGAGGTCCTTTGTACAGTTTACATGTCTTTCCCTCCAACTCTGTTTTGGTAGTTAAATGGCATTTAAATGGCGTGCTGGTGTGCTTTTCCTTTTGCTCATTAGAAATACCAGAGAAACTTGACCCTTGGAGAACGATGAGTTTTAAAAAGGATGCTATACGCTGCTATATTGGGTGGAGACCCAGATAGACCAGAAAGCAGGCCCTGCCTTCTTTGCCTTTGCAGCGATATGCAACGTTCATAAATGTTTTTTAAGAATAGCCACGGAGATAGATGAACCTTGCAGTTTTGCAATGTCCTAGGCTTGTCAGTTAACGTTTCTCCTGGAAATCCTTTTTCATCTCTTATCAAAACCTATGGATTTGAACAGGACTTCCGAGCTGTCAAGAGAAGCTTTGGGGCTGCCTAAGGCCGTCAGATGAAATGCACCACACAGACCCTGCTCACTTAACACTTGGAACGGACACGGACTTGAATCTTCCGAAGGGCTTCCTGGCAGCTCCCTCCTTGCCTTGCGTTGGACTTTTGCTGGATAAAAGTAAAAGTTTTACTGAATCAATATCTAGAAGAGCTGGGCTCCTCAAAGCAATTGTCTCAATTTGACACTTTAATTTTTTTATTAATGGTCTTTTCTCTCCTAATGGTCCTACATCTATGCTTGTCTGTGATGATCCTTATGCCGCAAGGCCTACTGATGGCTAAGTTATTGTGCATACCTTTTCCAGCAAGATAGGATGGTTGGGGAATGTTATGCAGCAAAGGAATATTTTCTGTGTGCAACTAGCACCATCTGTTGCTTGAGTACTTGTTTTATTTCTCTGTAGCTTTAAATAGACCAAGGAGGGACCATTAAAAAGCTAGTTTAGTCCTACAATGCCCAAAGTCCCTTTGCTGTGTCTTCTTACTGACACATCTTGACTGGTGCAGGTGTGTCTTCTGTTGCCAAAACAAGTTAGTTTAGACAGCTTGACCTCTGCCTTGCTATTGGGTCCATGCTGTTTGAAAGGTCCTTTGTTCTGTGACTAAGCCAATACTGTATTCCTGGTTTGTTTGTTTTTTATTTTTCTTTTTAAGTTGCACTTGCCTTCTAAAGTAGATGTTAATTCAGTCACAAATAAGCTTCTTTTTTTCCGTTCTGTCCTATTGGCTCTCAAAGTCTGGTAAGATGTGACGAAGACCATTCAGCTCGCTCCTTCTATTTATGTAACCCAAGATTAGGGAGTAGTTCTAGGAAACAATAGTTATCAAAATGGAACTGGACTTACCCAGCATTTGGAGTGCTCTTACGGTTTGAATTCCAGTTATAGCGCCAGAGTCTGGTGATAATGAGCAATGCAAACCCAATTCCTAAAATACATTTGACTTCAAATATGGAGTGATAGAGTCAAATTAGCTGTCTATTTTTAAGAGCTGTTTCTGTTTCTATGCCATTTACCCATTCTTTCTTTTAAATTCTTATTGAACAAACCCTAATGAATTATACTGGATGCAAACTTCTGCCTTATTCTACATAATAGTAGCCCACAGCTGACTGTACAAAATCTATATCGAGCTGCTGCTTTTTCTTCCAAGAAAGAAATGATGATAATAGCGGTATTTCTTTCCTCTAAAAGTGGCAAAGCTTTTGGTGTGAACTTTGGCCAAATATTAAACAGCCTCCCTCATCTGATCCTTTGCACAACCTGAAGTCATTTGCAGCTGCTTTTTCCCCCCCCAGTGGCTTTAAAAAGCAGTCACAGCTGCCTCAAATATAAATTTATCAACCTTATCATTATAATCATTCAAGTTCAAATGTGATCATAGTTTCTGTGCTTCTGTTCTCAATTCCTGAAAAAACATCGACTGGTTTCTGTGATACACTTAGCCCAGAATTGTATTGTCTGGCTTAATGTGTTGAGTGAACCCAATCATTGTGGTTTATTCAGTAAATCAAAGTTAAACCATGGCTTAGCATGCTATGTAGATCCTGTTTAGGTCTCCCATGCAAACTTGGAGACTTTCTGTTAGTGAGCATTTCCATCACAACTTGTACATTTCCCTATGGCTTATGATACACAAATATAAATATCTCAAAATCTATATTTTTATACAAAGAAACAGCTGCAGAAAATTTCTAACTCTGATAGTTCAGATAAGGCCGCAATCCTAAGGAAAATTATTTAAAAGATGAAGCTCACTGGCCTTGTTTTTGATCACATGTGCTACAGTTGCCTTAATATTGCATCTTCTATTACAGTTTTTTTCCTTGAAAATCATTTTTCCAATTGTTGAATCATTTACTTTATAGTCTCTGTTCACATTGTACTGCTTTAAAAAATTGCTTTGTGTGTGTGTGTGTGTGTTGTGTATGCATTTTTAAAAAGTCAAACTTTGCCAAATTATTATTTTTTCTTTAAGGAGGAAGATTGATTTATAGCTCCTTTCATTGCTCCACTCTCAGACCAGTTCCTTTCTTAACATAATATTTGCAGGAGTGCACCTTTTGCTCTGGAATTATTTAGATCTATGTTTCTCAAGCCTAGCAAGTTGAAATCCATACATCTTAAAAGTTACTAAGGCTGAGAAATTTTGATTTAGATTAGGGCTGTCAAACTTGCATCGTTATGGCAACATCACATGAAGTATCAGGATTTTTTCCCCTTTGCTAAACTAAGCGTGGCCAGCACATGATGCATCTGGCCCGCGGGCTGTGAGTTTGACAGCCCTGATTTAGATGATTCAAGGCAAATAGGAACTCTAGCTTGGCAAATTGATCTTAGGGGTGGCAGGACTGTCGGCTCCTAGACTCCTAGGCAGGATCAAGACTTGCAATAGCAAATGAGGGAGAGGGTCCACCTGCAAATGTTTTTTGAGGGAAGGTTGACCATAGTCACTTTTTAAATTAACTGGATTTTCATACCGTTCTTCCCACCCTAATTGGTACATCTTCCTATTTGAACTATTGAAATAATTTCTCCTCAACAGGTCCAGGAGCATGAAATAATTACTGTACTGTATGTAAAAGTTGGCACAGCAATAAAATGGCTGAGGATGCATCTGAGCAATTCAACCGAATTATGTGGCTGAGAGTTTTGTAAAATGTAATCCCAGTGCTTGAGGGAAGCAGCAGGTTGGGAAAGCTGCTTTAGAGAGTGTTACTTGATCAGTTTATGCTCTTCAAGAGTCTCTTTTGTTAGGACTTGGAGATTAAAAGGTTTCTCCTGGACAGTGGTGGTCTTCTGGTGTTTCTGTGCTGCCTATACTTCATTTCTTGGTTAACTAACTTTCCCAGATAAACAATGTTATAAGATTGCCTTCTCGCCTTCATGTTGATCTTGTGAAATTAAGGTTTGAAACAATCCATGCCTAACTCCTAATTTCTAATGCAGTACCTTCCAGCTAAAATCGGAATTGGAATTGGGTTGCTTATCAATTCAAATAAAGAAATTTTAAAAAAAATTAAGTGGAGCAAGTTGATATATGTGGTGGATCTTGGGAATAAGCAGACATAATTTATAGTCACAGCCACAATCTATTCCATGATATGGAAATGTATCCTGTGACTTCCCAATGTTTGTGCTACAAGAAAAGCAAGATCTTGTGGATCTGGTCTGTACCTGGTCTGAATCCAATTGGAAACCACCATGACTAGCATTGGGAGACTGGCTCTTAGTAACAATGAAAGAATGGACCAGTAGCCAGAGAACTACACACAATTAGAAATATTACCTTCTGAATGTTACCTTCTCTCTCCGTTGCCCTGCTAAATGTTTGGCATGCATGCTAATGATAACCACAACAGTGGTGGAACATTCTAAGAACAGATGTTGTGGACCCTACTATTAAAAGTGCAAAGGGTTCTTGGAACAGTTACCAAGAGGGGCAACACACCAGCCCAGGAATAGTTGTGATCATCTTTTCAAAGCCAAATCACCTCAGAGCCCAACAGCATATTCCTTTTGTGGATGGGGGTGCTTACAATGCTTTGACCTCCTGCAGGAAAATTACCCTCCAAAAACAGCACAGCAGTGTCTTGGAGCATTTGTTTGCATTTTTAATTGTAATTCCAAAAAATACGAAATACTGAACCTCTGATCAGTTAGCTACCCATACAGTGGCATTAAAATCAGAAAATGATTGGACATTTTAACAAGGGTTGGTTCTTGACATCAAAGGAAATTGAATAGGTGCGAACTGGCTGAATCCCACCACTGGCTGTAATCCATGCTTTATTTCTACCCAGTTAAGAAACAGAGCTAGCCTTGGATTACAAGTTCAACCAGTTTTGGTCTTAGTTTTTAATCCTACTAAATATTTCTGAAGACATACCTCCATGAATTCTTGAAAATAGCTGAGGTTTTTCCCCACTCAACATTTTCACCTCTTAGGACATTGACCATCAATTGGAGAAGGAAAACAACTTGTTTTTAATTCCGCCATCCACGTCCACAAAAGGAATAAGCTAGTAGAGCTATGTGGCAATTTGGCTTTGAAAAAGTGATCACAACTATTCCTGAGCCGGTGTGTTGCCCCTCTTGGCAGCTGTTCCAAGAAATCTTCACAGTAGTAAATTGAGCCCTGTTTTGCAATACAAGCATAACAATGCAGGTGCCAATTTTCCTGAATCTTTCCAGTTTTTTCTGTCCAGCAGTTAACTGAGTCATAGGAGCCTTGGTCAAAAAAGGGTTGGGCCATTCTATATGCAAACCATTACTACACTGCAAGGTTTGATGTATTCACTGCCTCTCAAGACTTCTGGGTGAATCGGTACCATTCATAATTTTATTATTTCCTGCTGTCTTCAAAACACAGATGGAAGAGGAGAACAAGGAAAAGTTATGTTATTTTAAAAATGATTTATTTTTAATAGTTATTGGACCAATGGTATTTGACACACATGCTGGGAGCTGTATGGAACTCAGCACTGATAAAAAATACAGCAATTATGACCCGTATCAATAAAATACACTGTAAATAGCCCACTGTAAATAGCCCACCCCTCTCTATTTCTCTCTGTTTCAAAGAAGATCATTAACCCAAAACATAGCTCTAGTTCTGACCTCATGCAGTCTCTCAGGGGTTGACAGCTGTCTGTTACTATAGACCATATACCTATAGGGGCAGCCTTTTCAAAGGTAACTAGATAAGGAAATTAAGGAAATGAAACTTAGAGAGCAAACTGGGCTGTAACTACTTACCATTTCCTGTACCTGCTCTTTTGTCATGGTACTGGTTCTGTCTTTGCCTTAGAAAATGGAATATGGCAGTGGCAAGCTAGAATCACACTGTGTAGCTAACAGATTTGCATTTCATTTAATGTGGTAGAATGAGAATACACACACACAGACAACACACACACACACTCCACACACAAAACCCCTCCAGGTGCATGAGTACAGCTCTCAATTATCTAAAGCCAGCACAGTCATTCCTGCATGTACCAATGTGGACCAATACCACCTGATAGTTGCTGAAAATCCAGACAGGTGCAGGACATCTACACAGAATATTTTGGGAGACCCATTGAGATTGAAAGGTGCTAAGAATCTGGAAATACTCAACAGTGACCTGCCTTTTCTTGGTAAAATTCTCCTTTTGCTTTGCCTCAATTGTCTACTAAAAGGAGGAGGAGATCTACCCATGGCTTCTCAAATTCTCAATTTTGATTCCCAAATATCTCTCCATGTTAAAATAAGGAATAACAGTGCCCCCGCCATTGAATTTGTTATTTCCCCAAGAGGCTTCTCGTTCATAAATAAAAACGAATCTTGTAGAATAGCTTGCACACCCCTGTTTAGAAGAGTCTCTTGTAGTAAAAGTCTATTTTGCGGCAAGTTATGTCGCAAAAAGGGAGGAAGGACTTCCTCTTTGGGCTTTGAGATTTAAGATCATCTATGCCCCTATTTGCTTTTGGCTCTTTTCTTAAAGGCATCTTATGCTCTTAGTCTCTTGTTTATCACCATAGCAGAATACAGAATAGAAAATAAGAGCTGGAAGGAACCTTGGAGGTCTTCTAGTCCAACCCCCTTCTCAAGCAGGAGACCCTGTGCCATTCTGGACAAATGGCTGCCCAGTCTCTTCTTTAAAACCTCTGGTGAATGGAGCACCCAGGACTTCTGGAAGTAAACCATTCCACTGGTTAATTGTTCTCAGACCACAGGGGTATTTTGCACTCTTTGAAATAAATCTAACTCCCATACTTGTGTCAATCCTGCAACTTGCATACCTATAGTATGCAAAATTCACTTCCTATGTATTATATAGAAAGTAAGATTGCCATGTGGGCTTCAGACCCTAGTTTTTTAGTCAAGGAAGATCAATCTTGTCCAAATGACAGCCCCCTGCCATTCAGTGTGGCAATTCCACCCCTTGAATTCAGAAATGGATGTTAAAACTCTTATGTCAGATTTCTCCTCCTGCCTCTCTCGGTCTTTGGAGTTGGCTCTTTCAGACAATGGAACCCTTCAAAAGCAATCCCAGTCCTCTGTCCTTTCTATCACTCATGAATTGGGAGGAGATTCCCTTGTTATCCACATTATTCTGAAGCTGAGATTTACAGGGGGGGTTGGGGGGGTGCTCCAGGCATTGTGTGACATGCTGAAAGCTATTTTCTAAAAGTGAGTGAGATTAGTAACCGAAGGGGATCCAGGTTGGGAGGTTGGATCCATTTGCTCTGATGGTGCTTAGAAGGCTCCCAAGCAAGTGATGGATGGGATAGTCTGAAGCCTGCAGGATGGACTTTTTCATATTTATTTTAAAGAGGGTGGATCTATATATTTACCCAGCAAATACTGTAGCATAACCAGATCGCTCTGGATCACTCCAGTAGAGACAATGGATATTGATTGTGAGCATCCTAAGCCACTTATCATCCCAAGCTATCTTGGCTGTTATGTAGTTCAGCCTTGTTTGCCATCCACAAATTATTCCAGTTCAGCATTAATTAATGGCGCTGCAGAGGGAAAAACCAAGGCTAGGAAATAACAGGCTGAGTGTGCCAAAAGGGGGAAACAACAAATCCCAGAACAATGAGGATTAATGAGTCTTTTGCATTCCTCAGAGCATCAGGGAAACTTAAACTATACATGCCCCCCCCCCCTAAATGTCTGCTTGATTTGAATATAATATAAACTGATTGTAAAGGTGTGTTAATTGGCATGTTCACAACATGCCCGTTATTTCAAGGCAGAAATAGCCACTGGAAATCTTAACAAAGTTGCAACTGCTCTGTCTTCAGTTTTGTCAGGCATTATGGAAGTAATATTTAGGCCTACTCTTGCACCTACAAGATAGCTTTTGATGTCCAAATGCAAAGGTAAGTTTGCATTTGGTATCTATTCAGTATCTATAAAGCCCTAGGATTCCCTCACCTCTGGGGGGGGGGGTCCGATGCATTTTCACCAGCTGCTTCAGTCCAGACGGATATCAGTTACATTCCCCAAACACAGAACAGAGTTCTGGATTTGACAACATTCTACTGTTCGCCAGGTGTGTAAGATGAACTGGTGGGAAGTATGCAGAATTATGAGAATGATGTTCCCAAATGCACAGGGTACCCTCAGGAAGGGGGAGTTTTAGCTGGGTTTGAACTCAAGTTAAGGCTCTCAACCTGATCCATTCCAACAGATCAGTTAAAAAACAACAGTTTGAAGTTTCTGATGCATTCAGTAAAATGCCTGATGGGAGAAAAAGCAAACCACCCTTTGACTGGTATCCTCTTTGATCAGCCTGGGCACATTCCGCAATATTTCACATACACAAGGAAGGACATAGACATAAAGCTATATGGATAGGAGAACAAAAATGCAGCCTCCCCCTTTAGACTTTTTAAAATTGGGGGTAAAGTGCTTTTTTATTTCAAGTTATTGCTAAAATGTTTATTCATTTTCAGGGAAAGTGCATTTTAGTGCAATTTTTCATCTATCCATCTATGAGAGTGAATAGCATGGTGCCCAACAGATTAATGCAGCAGACAGCACATGTCAAAGCCATTAAAAGGTTGAAGTTCACTTACACTTGTGGTGTTTATGAAGTTCAAATAGAAATGGAAGAAACAGGAAAAAAGAGCTGAAGTGAATGGGTTGTGACAGCATCATAGAGATGCTCCGTATAAAATGAGCAAGCAAAGATTCCTCCTATGGGTAAATCCAGCCTTTATTTCCCTGCCTATTAAGTCCCCAAATCTTCTTATTCCAGGTGCCGAAAAGAGATCTGAGAATGCAAAGAAAGGAAGAAATCAATTATAATAATCTCTCTCTTTTTTAAAAACTTGTGGGAGGTTGGGAATGGGACTTCCAATGTGGCGAATCCCATTGGAAAATGCAGCTAACTGCTTTTTTAACAGGTTGCAGTATTATAGAGGGCAATATAAAAGCTCCTCAGGTAAGGATGGGTAATCTGCAGGCTTTGAGATGCAGTTTGGGATTTATTACAAGCCTGGTATTCCAAAACACCTGTGGAGTTTTTCTAAACTAACCGGGGAGGAAAATGGAACTGGGTATATTGCAGAAAATCAAGAATTTCATTCATTGGTTAATCTTTGTCTACTTAAGAATTTCAGTGACTACATTATTTCTGACCAAGATATTTACCTCCTCCTCCACCACCCTATAAAAGTGGTTGGTAGTTAGCTATATGTTTGAAGAAGTACCTTGGGGTCCAATACATTCTTATTCATTAGTTTCATTACCAAGAGGCCAAGACTCATTCAGCCTGTCCTAACTAACCCAGGCTCTAGTCTTTGACTGCTCAAGAGAATTACATGCCACCATTTTGGTTTGCAGAAGAATGGAGAGTGGGTGGGAAATGTAAACCACCAGATTCCATTTCCAGATGATGCCAATGTGCTTGGCACCTAATGAGGGGAGAGTTCTACTAAACTTGTGTCATGGCATACATCCCAGCTGCTGCCAAATTGATTTGTGACAGTGAAGTATTTTGAAAGTGCCTTCAGCCATAGAAGCCAATAGATGACACCTTCTCTAGAAAACATCTATAGTTTGCACACATTTCTTTCCAAAGCCATTGATAGAAGGACTTGCTTTGATTGAAATTTTGGAATGTGCGCAGTTTATCCTATCTCTCCTTTGATGTTAGTGGGCAAAATGCGGACAGTAAAGTACACAAAGGTTCCCTTCAGCTCTCCTGGGTTCTGGGTTGAGTAGCTGCTAGTGTAGGTCCTCATGGCTCCAGTGTTGCCTCCTTCTCAAGTTGGCATCAAAATTAAAGCAGCCCTTAAACAAAACAAAACAAAAGTGGGGGAACCAAGGAACAGGAATGCTGTCTCTAAATCCAGCTCCATACTGGAGCCTGGCACTCGCTTTCTCAGGGACTCTGGTTCAGGAGCTTTCCAAAAAAAAAGCAAGTAAGAATGCCCTAAACCCACAAGCAGGCTGTTGTGTTCTGATCATGCTAGCTAAGGGAATATATGGTAGTCCAAGGAAAGACAAGTATTATTAATTTGGGTTCACCAACTAAAAGCAGGAGAAATGAGTGTGTGGCATCTGTGTTGCCCTTAGTGGGCTTCAGAAGAAGTGGAGCCAAAGGCATATAGGTCTCCACCACCCAAGGAGGCCATGAAACTTTCACATCCAATACCTCTTTGAACAAAAAAAATAGAACTCACAGAAGGGTCTTTGCAAGAAATGTCAGACGTAGAAAGTATTCTGACTCGGGGGGGGGGGGGCATAACTGGCTGAAAGCATGCAGCATCTTAAAGATGTCTTGCTCCACTAAGTTTACACTTAGAACTGCACCTTGTGAAACCCTTCTCCAGCTGGCTGGAACTGATGTGGGTAGCAGTGGTAGGAGAAAGTAAGTCAAAACAATCTGGATGTCACTATCACCTAAATGCTGCCTAATAGAGGGATGATGAATCATTGCCTCACACATGGCTATATCTGAAAATGAAAGCTGTGCTCATGAACCAGAATCGGGCATCAGTACCAGTGCCAAGCTTGCCACCTGTAGTCACAACATACTCCAAACTGGAAGCACAATGAAGCACAACACACAAACATTCTGCAGCTCTGTAGGGTCCCCTCTATGTTTCCTCTCACCCTGTGAGGAAATGGCCCAGTAGCTACCAGCTGCCTTTTGCTCTTGCCTGTTTACCCCCCTCCCCAATTTCCAAAGCCAGTGACTGGTCTATAGTCCCCACAAGCCACAACTCCTAAGCGCAACATGCCTCTGACTCGTTTCCATTTTACCCCACAGTCCAAATTGCACAATTATTCTAAATCTTGAACTAATCAAAATCTAAGAAACAAAATAATCCCAAAACTATTCTTTTTCTTCTCCCCCAGCTGTCCCCCCCACCCCACCCTTGCCCAAGATGCCTGGATAAAAGTTAACTCTTTACATCTCTTTGGCAACAATAACTTAAATCTGCCATTCTGTTAGGGCAGAGTGATACAGTAATGGGTAAACTTTGTACAAAAATAGTTTCAGTGGCAGTTTGATCTGCTTTTGCTATGCGTCTGCCGAGCGTTTCTTCCTGCGATTGAAGGGTGACAAAGGAAGTTTGGAAAAAGCCCCCAGCCCTAAGACCTGGTATTCCTCTCACATTCCCAGCAGGTCACATCGTGGCTCTCTGGGAGGCACTCACCAAATAATGCTGTAGTAGAGAAAGGATGAAGATGGCAGAAAACGGGAAGGTAGCATTTGGTAGGCCTCAACACCACAGTCTCTCCCAGCCAGCGAAACATTTAAATAAGTTTTTTTTTAAAATTCCTGTACTCCCATTCCACCTGCAGGGATTCAGGCTGCACTCTCAAGGCTAAGGAGGAGAAATGGGGAGTGCTGAAGGCCATCCAGGCACCACTTCCGCGCTGCTCATATTGATCCTGCCCATAACAGAAGGCAAAGTCTTCAGTAGAGATGAGTACCTGGGGCCAGGTTGCGATTCTCAAGAGGCGGTGGGTGGGGACAATTTTGAGTTCCGCAACCATGATGCAGCTGAGCGACAGCAACCCAGGGTCAGTGAAAAACAGAAGCAGAAAAGGGGGGGAAATGGCTGCTGAGACCAGGAGTCTTCCCTGCTCAAAACATTTAAATGTGGCCTTCACTTCAGCTGGCTCCCCTACCTGTTTCAGGTCGTTTGGCCTACACTTGTCTCTGGCTCTTCTGGTAACCGATTGTGTCCACTGGACCATCAACTCCGCCTGATATCTGGACACAGCACACTGAAGAAAGGACACGGAGAACTTGCCCCCTGTGGCAAGACACAAGTACCAGTGCTTGAGGATCCACCTGAAGCATGTTGGAATGGCACAAGGCGCAAGGCTACGTGCTCTCTCAATATCCCCTATGGGGTGTGGAAAGAAGACACGATAAGCTCACAGAACAGGCAGGGGGAGGAGGATGTCTCAGGGCAAGTGCCCCAACTGGGGAAGTCAGTGTGGGTCAGAACATCAAGAGGCATGAGCTAGGGATATTACAATGGCTTATGTGGCAATGTTAGCAAGGTCACAGATCTACCCTTTAAATGCTATAGGTTCTATATGTCTATATGTGTCTATTTGTACACAAACACTTTCTTGGGTGCGTGCGCACGCGCGTACACACTCACTCTCTCTCACACACACACTCATGTTTGCACAACCATCGCAAACCACCTCATGGTAAGGTGGCCCCAGCCCAGCGGCAGTTCAAAGTCTGTCCAATAAAATCTGAACGAGGCCCTGCAGAGTTCTGCTCCAGCCAGCTCCTGGGCTTCATCCGTGCTCATGTCCCCTGGTGCAGAAACTGTGCCTTGGGGGCAAAGTAGGAAGTCCAAAAGGGAGAGATAGCCAAGTTCACTCTCTCTTGCCATTTTCACTGTTGCCTAGAAAAGGGAAGAAGCTGTTAGAAATTGCAATCACAGAACTAGAGGCCTCAGAGGCCCCTTTCTTAGCTTTCCCAACACATCTGGTCTCCTCCAGATGCCTCAGGACTCTTAAGTCACAGTTTGAATTCAGTTCATGACATATGGACAGAAGCTTAATAGTGTGTCTGTAAAAGGGATTCACAACTTTCCTTCTGGTCAGATATGTTTTAAGAACTGAGGTAAAGTTTGTCACGGGCAAGACAGCTTACCTTCCAAGGATTTGCGCCAGGCTGGCTTCTATCTGAATTAGAAATGTTAGGGATTTTTTAAATTTGATTTTTATCCTGCCTTTATTATTTTACAGGTAACTCAAGACAGTTAACATACAGTACCTAATACTCTTTTCTCCTCCTATTTCTTCACAACCACCACCCTGTGAGGTGGGTTGGGCTGAGAAAGAGGGAATGGCCCACAGTCACTCAGCTGGCTTTCATGTTTAAGCTGGGGCTAGAACTCAGTTTCCTGATTTCTACACCAGCACTTTAACCACAACACCAAACTGGTGGAAAGAGAAACATTGGAAGTACGGAAGAAGGATCCTGAACCTCTTACTGAATGAATGTCTCGGGATTATGAAAAAGTAAACCTCCATAAACATAAAGGTTCCCCTCGTACACATGTGCTAGTCATTCCCGACTCTAGAGGGCGGTGCTCATCTCCGTTTCAAAGCTGAAGAGCCAGCACTGTCCGAAGACGTCTCCGTGGTCATGTGGCCGGAACGACTAAACCAAAGGTGCACGGAACGCTGTTACCTTCTTACCAAAGGTGGTTGCTATTTTTTCTACTTGCATTTTTACGTGCTTTCAAACTGCTAGGTTGGCAGAAGCTGGGACAAGTAACGGGAGCTCACTCTGTTACGCAGCACTAGGGATTGGAACCGCCGAACTGCAACCTTACTGATCAACAAGCTCAACGTCTTAGACACTGAGCCACTGTGTCCCTTATTACTCCATACTCCTGCTAAAAAAGACCATCATAAATCAAGTTCTCTTGAGTCCAGCTTGATTCCAGTTTGACTCATGGTGATTTTGTGGTTATATTTAGCACATATTGTTTTCTTAGCAATACTATGGAAAAGGTTTGCTAATCCCAATTTCTACATTGCTATTCCTTCTTTTAATATTTAATGCCACAAGTATTGCAATCATCTCTTAAAAGTTTGGGAAAACTGAAATAATTTCATATTAATGTGGCCTCAGTAAAATAAATCCTTAAAGTATGATTCAACCAACAATTGGAAGAGGCTCCTGCCTGGGGCAGGATTCAATGCAGTGGATAAAAGCAACCAGTTGGAACAGTTCTTTGTGTCCTGTCCAGAATTTCAATATTATCTTATATTTTCTGACTTTAATCATGAGACCTCCACAATCAGATCATATGAACAATGCTTGCCCCGATAACAAGAAACCTCTGGATATTTGGGGGGTTTACCATTACTTAGGAAGGTCACTTTCTTCTGCAGTTTTTGAAATGTCAGAATGGACCTTACCTCCTACAGGCTCAACATCTGAATCAGTGACGTGTGTGATGGAGAACCGTGATACTGCAGCAGGTGAGACTGTGAAGCGTGAAAACTGGATGGGCAGCACTTGCTTCTGAGCAGATACTAGTGTGGGTGACAGTCTGGGGAGACTGTCCTCCGGTGCCTCTGAGGTCAATGATGACAGGACAGGTGATTTCACAGGTATGGAGGAAAAGTCATCATCCCATCCAAAGCTACCACCTGAAATGGGAAGGATAGGTATAGGAAAGACGAAGAGGCTACTCCCTTCACCCACTCTGTCACAAAGCTTCCCAAATTCCAACAGGGTTTCCTGGATCAAAGTTCGATATGACACTTTCCAGGTATGTTGGATTTTGGCCAGGCTTCCTAGAAGTGTAAACACAACCCATTTGGAGCAGGGGTGGGTTCCTGTACCGATTGGTACCAGTTCACTTTGTGTGCGGAAATGGGACCAATTGTCTGAATCTGCAGGATTCTTCTTTGTAAATACACATATGGAAGAAGCAGCAACAAACTCCATGTACAGGACATAAAGACAGTCCTTGACTTACGACCATAATGCAGCCTGCCTATCATAAGTAGTAAGTCGCGATGGTTGCAAAATAGGTTGGTGATGTAACTGACCCCATTTTATGACCTTTTTTTGCAGCACATAAGTGGCCCACGTGGTCATTAAGCAAACACTGCTGTTGTTAAGGAAACCAATGCCTTGCTATGGTATGATTTTGCCCCAAACTAGAAGTGGCAGGTTTGGGCAAAATCATGATAAAATACAATCACATGATTGTGGGTGCTGCAAATGGCCGTAAATGTGGCCATGTTGCTAAGCGCCCAAAGTTCAGTCATGCGACTGCAGGGGAAGTGACCCTCAGCCCTTTGAATCCATGTTGTAAGGGTAGATCCATTGTAACTTTGGTTATAAACTGAGGACTACCTGTTCAGTTTTGATGTGAAAACTCATTAGTTTAGTCAAAATAGGTACATGCATTCTGCTAATCCAAACAGATCAAATTCAGTTCTAATCTTAACTATCTATGGAAGATAAAGTAATTACCATATTTCTTGGGAGTATAAGAGGCACCTTTTTCCCTCAAAAAAGAGACTGAAAATCTGGGTGCATCTTATACAGCATTTTTTGCCTCCTGAAACCCCGCCCCTTCACCAAAATGGCCGTGCATAGCCTTTAGGAGCTTTGCAGAATGTTCCTGGGGGCTGGGAAGGGCAGAAATGAGTGAAAAATGGGCTGTTTTTTGCTCAATTTTGCCCCCCCCCCACAGGAACACTCTATAAGCCTCCAAGGGCTATGCATGTCCTTTTTTTGACAAAAACCCGAGCTGATTTTGTGAAAAACGGGCCATTTTTTTCTCGTTTGGGGGACCCCCCCCCCCACCTCCCAGGAGCATTCTACAAGGCTCCTAAAGGCTATTTATGCCCTTTTGGGGGGGAGGGGGAAAGGGCCTGTTTTCGCAAAAAATGGGCCACTTTTTGGGAGGTTTGCAGAGTGCAATTTTTTAAAAAAAAATTGCTTCTTCAAAACTTCGAT